ATCCTTAGCACCATATTAAATATATATATATATTGTGTCCACCTGTAACTAAAAAATAAATATTAAAAAAAAACTGAAAAAAAAAGGAATTAAGGGCTGGGGGTGTGGTTCAGTTGGTAGAGTGCTTGCCTCACATGCACAAGGCCCTGGGTTCAATCCCCAGCACCAAAAAAAAAGAAAAAGAAAAAAGAAAGAAAGGATTAGGGGTTGGGGTTGTGGCTCAGGGCTCAGTGGTAGAGCACTTGCCTAGCATGTGTGAGGCCATGGATTCAATTCTCAGCACTGCATATAAATAAATAAAATGAAGATTCATTGACAACTTAAAAAAAAATTAAAAACAACACTGAAGTTTATAGATGATGGTTAAATAATCCAAGTTCCTCAGAACTAAGCCTGAGCCCTGACTGGGGACTTCTCATATCCTGGCTGCCTTGTGCTGTGATTTCTGAGCAACCACTGGCCCCCACTCTGGCTTTCCTGCCAAACACTGAGCAGGTGTCAGGACTACAACAATGACAAACAACAGAGCTTCCCCAGCTGCTGGCGGTGGTGTCATCCAGTGTTTGGGGCATGGCAGAGGTGAATCAAATGACACTCACACAAGTAAGCCAGTTATGAAGTAGAGCTTCATAAAGCCCGGAGGACAGCTGGGGAGGGGGCGGCTGGGGAGGGGGCAGGGGGAGGTCAGGGAGGACTTCCTACAGCCGGCAACCTCAGAGCTCTGATCTTAAAAAATCAGTTACTGCCTCCAGTGAGGGCCACCTCCAAAACCCAGCCTCTGACTCATCCATTTATTTTTTCATTTATTGAGCTCCCATGGGTAGTCAGGCATTGTTCAAGTAGGTGCTGGGCACAAAACTGGTGAAAAATCCCTGTCGGGATATGGGAGAGTGAGGTGGGTGGGTGGGGTGGAGGGCAAAGCCAAAGGAGGACACCATTCTAGCAGGATTACCTGCTGGGAGCAAATTAAACAAGAGCTGGTAAGGTATAGTGCCCTGTTTCAAAATAAGATCCACAGAAACCTTTCTAATCGATAGTGCACACCTTCTCACCCTCTGGCAGAGGTACATGGAGGAAGAACTTCTAGTGGTCTTGCTCGCTCGGTCGCCCACCTGGCTGTTATTGAGCGCCTCCTGTATGCACCAGGAAACCTTCGGGAAGCAGAACGTGATAGGTGGGGGGTGTTCTGCGTGCCCTTGGGCACGTGCTTCCCCTTTAGGGCCTTAGGTCCACTTCTGTAACTAGGGCTTCGGGGTGTCATCCGGCAGGCAGTCTCATAGGTGCCTGGACCCCCAAGCCATCTACTTCAGGAAACATTTAGTAGTGTTTTCCCAACAGCCGCCAAGGTAAGAGTGCATGGAGAAGGGTGTTTATCCCCATTTTACAGATGCGCAGGGTGAAATTCTGATGGGACCCAGGCACAGCACTGGGCTGCGCGGTAATCACGGGCGTTAGGATTCCAACCCTTGGCCCACTCGCCCCCGCCCCAAAAGGCCCAGAAGCTTCTGCCCCTTTAAGAACGTCCCGCGGAGCAAAGCAGGAAGGAGGCGGAGCCTGCTCCCGGGACGGACGTGTGTGAGAACCAGTGGACGCGGCAGTCGCGGCG